GAGACCTGAAAATAGCCTGACAGAGCTTGGGAGGAACCCATCCAACCTGACAGAGCTTGGGAGGAACTCCCCAAATACAGGTGTGCTAAGCTTGTAGCGTCATACCCAAGAAGACTCTAGGCTGTAATCACTGCCAAAGGTGCGTCAACAAAGTACTGAGTAAAGGGTCTGAATACTTATATGTACAGTTGAAAATCGGAAGTTTACATACACCTTAGTCAAATACATTTAAACTCAGTTTTTCACAATTCCTGACATTTAATCCTAGTAAAAATTCCCTTTCTTAGGTCAGTTAGGATCACCACTTTATTTTAAGAATGTGAAATGACAGAATAATAGTAGAGAGAATTATTTATTTCATCACATTCCCAGTGGGTCAGAAGTTTACATACACTCAATTAGTATTTGGTAGCATTGCCTTTTAAATTGTTTACCTTGGGTCAAACGTTTCGAGTAGCCTTCCACAAGCTTCCCACAATAAGTTGGGTGAATTTTGGCCCATTCCTCCTGACAGAGCTGGTGTAACTGAGTCAGGTTTGTAGGCCTCCTTGCTCGCACACGCTTTTTCAGTTCTGCCCACAAATGTTCTATAGGATTGAGGTCAGGGCTTTGTGATGGCCACTCCAATACCTTGACTTTGTTGTCCTTAAGCCATTTTGGAACAACTTTGGAAGTATGCTTGGGGTCATTGTCCATTTTGAAGACTCATTTGCGACCAAGCTTTAACTTCCTGACTGATGTCTTGAGATGTTGCTTCAATATATCCACATAATATTCCTTCCTCATGATGCTGCCACCCCGTGCTTCACGGTTGGGATTGTGTTCTTCGGCTTGCAAGCTTCCCCCTTTTTCCTCCAAACATAATGATGGTCATTATGGCCAAACAGTTCTATTTTTGTTTAATCAGACCAGAGGACAGTTCTCCAAAAAGTACGATCTTTGTCCCCATGTGCAGTTGCAAACCGTAGTCTGGGTTTTTTATGGCGGTTTTGGAGCAGTGGCTTTTTCCTTACTGAGCGGCCTTTCAGGTTATGTCGATATAGGACTCGTTTTACTGTGGATATAGATACTTTTGTACCTGTTTCCTCCAGCATCTTCACAAGGTCCTTTGCTGTTGTTCTGGGATTGATTTGCACTTTTCGCACCAAAGTAGGTTCATCTCTAGGAGACAGAACGCGTCTCCTTCCTGAGCGGTATGACGGCTTTGTGGTCCCATGGTGTTTATTGTTGCGTACTATTGTTTGTACAGATGAACGTGGTACCTTCAGGCGTTTGGAAATTGCTCCCAAGGATGAACCAGACTTGTGGAGGTCTACCATTTATTTTCTGAGGTCTTGGCTGATTTGTTTTGATTTTCCCATGATGTCAAGCAAAGAGGCACTGAGTTTGAAGGTAGGCCTTGAAATACATCCACAGGTACACCTCCAATTGACTCAAATGATGTCAATTAGCCTATCAGAAGGTTCTAAAGCCATGACATCATTTTCTGGAATTTTCCAAGCTGTTTAAAGGCACAGTCAACTTAGTGTATGTAAACGTCTGACCCACTGGAATTGTGATACAGTGAATTATAAGTGAAATAATCTGTATGTAAACAATTGTTGAAAAAATTACTTGTGTCATGCACAAAGTAGATGTCCTAACCGACTTGCCAAAACTATAGTTTGTTAACAACAAATGTGTGGAGTGGTTGAAAAACAAGTTTTAATGATTCCAACCTAAGTGTATGTAAACTTCCGACTTCAACTCTAAATGTGATATATCAGTTTTTTTCTTTTTAATACATTTGCAAAAATTCCTAAAAATCTGTTATTGTTTTGTCATTATGGGGTAGTGTTTGTAGCTTGATGAGAAAAAAAACATACAGCCATATTTTGAAATGGATTCAATTGTAACGTAACAAAACGTGGAAAACGTCAAGCGGTCTGAATACTTTCCGAATGCACTTTCCGAATTACATGCAATATTCCCTCAAAAACAAATTGTCACTGAGGAAATTTCAGGTCTGCTGAGCGCAAACTTGAATAAGCTACGTAGCCAATAGGCAGAGGGTAGCATCATTTGTCTGATTCTCTGTAATAATGGTATGGGAATAATAATGCATTTTATTTTGTGAAGTGGTTTCTTGCGTCAAACAACATTTTCAGTCACCTCCTTGTCTAAAGAAAACATTTATAAACCGGTTAATGTCAAGCCCTGCATGTTTTTTTCCAAAAGTCTCACCCCTCATTGGCTGCTACTGTAGGCTGAATTATATAACAACATGTTAAAATGTTATGGGATGCTGTGCAACTTCCTGCGTACGTTTACTGTGAACACTGAGGCTGTACCCGCTTTAAGTTACCGTTTCAGACAGTGCTACTTTGGCTATTTGATCATAATGTAGGGCTACCAGAGTGGCCTACCATTAAAAACAATGGAGAAAATGCATCCCATAACATTTGGTCTTACAGAGAATCAGACAAATTATGCTACCCTCTGCCTATTGACTACGTACAGTGGGGAAAAAAAGTATTTAGTCAGCCACCAATTGTGCAAGTTCTTCCACTTAAAAAGATGAGAGAGGCCTGTAATTTTCATCATAGGTACACGTCAACTATGACAGACAAAATTAGAAAAAAAAATCCAGAAAATCACATTGTAGGATTTTTAATGAATTTATTTGCAAATTATGGTGGAAAATAAGTATTTGGTCAATAACACAAGTTTCTCAATACTTTGTTATATACCCTTTGTTGGCAATGACACAGGTCAAACGTTTTCTGTAAGTCTTCACAAGGTTTTCACACACTGTTGCTGGTATTTTGGCCCATTCCTCCATGCAGATCTCCTCTAGAGCAGTGATGTTTTGGGGCTGTCGCTGGGCAATACAGACTTTCAACTCCCTCCAAAGATTTTCTATGGGGTTGAGATCTGGAGACTGGCTAGGCCATTCCAGGACCTTGAAATGCTTCTTACGAAGCCACTCCTTCGTTGCCCGGGCGGTGTGTTTGGGATCATTGTCATGCTGAAAGACCCAGCCACGTTTCATCTTCAATGCCCTTGCTGATGGAAGGAGGTTTTCACTCAAAATCTCACAATACATGGCCCCATTCATTCTTTCCTTTACACGGATCAGTCGTCCTGGTCCCTTTGCAGAAAAACAGCCCCAAAGCATGATGTTTCCACCCCCATGCTTCACAGTAGGTATGGTGTTCTTTGGATGCAACTCAGCATTCTTTGTCCTCCAAACACGACGAGTTTAGTTTTTACCAAAAAGTTATATTTTGGTTTCATCTGACCATATGACATTCTCCCAATCCTCTTCTGGATCATCCAAATGCACTCTAGCAAACTTCAGACGGGCCTGGACATGTACTGGCTTAAGCAGGGGGACACGTCTTTCACTGCAGGATTTGAGTCCCTGGCGACGTAGTGTGTTACTGATGGTAGGCTTTGTTGCTTTGGTCCCAGCTCTCTGCAGATCATTCACTAGGTCCCCCCATGTGGTTCTGGGATTTTTGCTCACCGTTCTTGTGATCATTTTGACCCCACGGGGTGAGATCTTGCGTGGAGCCCCAGATCGAGGGAGATTATCAGTGGTCTTTTATGTCTTCCATTTCCTAATAATTGCTCCCACAGTTGATTTCTTCAAACCAAGCTGCTTACCTATTGCAGATTCAGTCTTCCCAGCCTGGTGCAGGTCTACAATTTAGTTTCTGGTGTCCTTTGACAGCTCTTTGGTCTTGGCCATAGTGGAGTTTGGAGTGTGACTGTTTGAGGATGTGGACAGGTGTCTTTTATACTGATAACAAGTTCAAACAGGTGCCATTAATACAGGTAACGAGTGGAGGACAGAGGAGCCTCTTAAAGAAGAAGTTACAGGTCTGTGAGAGCCAGAAATCTTGCTTGTTTGTAGGTGACCAAATACTTATTTTCCACCATAATTTGCAAATAAATTCATAAAAAATCCTACAATGTGATTTTCTGGATTTTTTTTTTCAATTTGTCTGTCATATAATTGATGTGTACCTATGATGAAAATTACAGGCCTCTCTCATCTTTTTAAGTGGGAGAACTTGCACAATTGGTGGCTGACTAAATACTTTTTTTCCCCACTGTAGCTTATTCAAGCCAGTCTCAAAATACAACACTGAAATGTACACATTTTGTGCTGTTGTAGGAAGCAATCACTCCCCCATTGCTGACTACAAATTATCTATAACTGGGCTAATAACTCACTAACTAGCAAAGGATATGAACAAATGTGCACACGTGGCTAGATGCAGCTCTCGCTTTGATCTTAAAATAAGCGCATCTACTCACGGCCGCTCATGCTGTAAACACAGTCCAGTTCAAAGTGAATGGCACAGATCCATTTATGACAATGGTCTATTTGCATATGCCTACTGCAGCTCTGATTGGTTATGCCGCACCGGTCTGTGTAGAGTACGGGCTGAGTCGTGCTTGTCAATGCAACAGAAACCTATTCCGATGCGTTCTGCATACAACAAAATCTCTTGCATAGTTTGTTTTGTTTCGGTATGCATTGAAAGTGGCTAATATTGCCTTAATTCGATGACCAAAAACTGATTAAAAACATAGGCCAAGCCTATACTGTTTGGTCCTGACTGTTTGTCTGGTTAAAGGACGGTTTTAGACAAAAAAAAAGGTGTAATGGGTCCGCGCTCAAAGATGTCCCATAGAGCTTACTTCATTATTCAATTTTTTTATTAGTTTCACTGCATCAGGGATAGCGTACACAGATGTTTCGGTTTTAGAAAAGATAAAAGATTGTTTGAGCAGCAAACCAATAAAAGACTGGACATCCCATTGTTTCTTTAGTTGATGTCTGTTTTGTCCAGCACGTATGTTTTTGATGTGTTTAAAGGGGCAATCCGCAGTTGCTACATTCATTTTGGGGGAGGGGGTAAGCCATGTTATTGGCTGGATCAAAGGAAATGAGAGGCAGAATGGTCACATGAGGCGGGCAGTCATGAGAAGGCAGATTAGTGCATTCACTTTCCCACTCTCACACATTCACTCTCTCGAGTAGGCGAGCACACTCAGGATCAGACTACACACCTGTACACATTGATGGGTTGCATGAACACTCACACACATTGACAAGTATCTTGTCATTTATTTGGCTGTAACAGAGGCGCTGCATGTGGTGAGACATTTGGGTAAGTTTTACAATGTGAGATTTTAACTGGAATAAAACAATATTTCATATAAATTATCAAATCAAGAATGTTTAGGCTACCATTTAATAATGTACATTTCCTTGTTGTATGAAATGTACTTCAGCCGTCTTTACTTCTTTGCATGCGCCAATGCATATTTTTGGCTGTTCTGGAAAAAAGCATTGACTCTGTTAATTATTTGTTTCCTGCTTTATGTATAGCTCAACTGAGTGGGCTAATATATGAAGGGATTGGGCTAATAACTAGTACCCACTGTACTTAGACTGAGAGCAGTCTTTTGTAATGTGAGTCATATCTACATATATGATGAAAACCGTTCATTGTTGTAACTGTCTTCCAACATTGTGTAGCCTACTTCAGTTTCCACTCGTGTACAAAACAATTTAGTGAGGATTTGCTTTGGTTAAAGATCACAGAGTTCTCAGGTTTATGATTCCAAGGACTTGCAGGAACATTTCACAATGGCTTTTACAACCTCATGTGGAGTGTGATTATGTAAAACACTCTTTGAACTCTGAATAAGAGAGACAAGTGCTGTGTAACACAACTTTAGACTGTTCTTGTCTTGCTTAAAAAGGCACAATGATCTTCGCTTTGGGCTTTAAAGCAACTGATAAGAATTTAAGGTTGACTTTGATGGAATGTTTATTGCTAAACCTAAGAAGTGTTATGTGTTGGACATGAAACGGAAAGAGGGACACCACCCAGTATGAATATCCTGTCTTTATAACACTGTTTTGAGTAGTAAGGTCAATTTCGTTGTGTACTTGTAGTCATGTCTACCTGAGTCTTGACTGTTTTGTTTTGTTGAGGATTAGTCCTATACGTTCAAGAAAGGCTAACTTCTCACTGTGGCAACAACTGAGTCTAGCAGAGCTGAGTAGAACAATATGAGGCAACAGATGTCTTGACTGGCAGGTTAAGTGATGTGATTTTGGGTCTTTTCAGTTTGATTCTCGATGTCTGTTTTCCTTGTCCCCTGATGTCATTGGTTTCTGCCTTCGGGGTGTCCCAGACATTTGGTATAACATGTTTTTCTCTAATTGAATAACATTGATGTCCGTTAAGTGGGCATTTATTGTGTTATAAAGGCAGTTTTCTACGGATGTGGCCTCTGGTTGTTTGGCCATTAAATTAGCAAGGGTCCTGGTAGACCTCTCGAGTCAAGTAGCAAATTTTTCCACTTCGAATGATTGCGCTCTCTCTCATGTAGGGAGTGAAGGTGCTTTCAAGGTACCATGGCTAGTAGACTTGGATGACTCTGGAACTGTGTATGAAATAGCCTTGGCACACAGTGGTCCAAACTGGCTTCACAGTTCTTGGGACCATATGGTTCTGTTTGTAGCCTAATATGTGTTTTTTCCCCCTCAATTTAGGTACTTTTCAGATCCAAACACAACTATAATTAGCCTAATTACCAGGATGGCAAAGCTGCAATCATTATCTTGGCCTATAAATGTTTATAGTTCCGAATACTGTGCTTCCTTTTGCACGTCCTTGATGTCCAAGGAAATGGTTTCAACCAGCATTTACAATAGACCCCAGCCAGCATTCTACACCAGTGGGTTCAGTACAGTAAGTTGAGGGGTTCATGGTTAAAACACCTCTCACAATCACCATCTCTCCAAAGTAATAACACTGGGCACTTTGGAGAATTTGACTGACTAGTTTAATTACGGTGTTAACCTTTTAATCGGTGCTAACCCAGGAACATTAGAGAGGATCTGGGGCTTGTCCTCAGGCTGGTGCTGGTGGCACAGTGCCAAGCCAAGGACCAGGCTACTCCAAGTCTGAGTGATTACCCACTTTATCCCTCTTCAAGCTCACAGAGTCAAACACAGACATGTGTCCTCACAAACCTGGAAAATGTGGTTAGAGTGGACCTCACTTCAATTTGTCGTATACAACTGGAAAATGTAATGGTGGTTGCTTTCCTCATGAAGCAGGAGATGCACTGAATATTTTGCACAGGAGGAAAATAAGCAGAAGTCACAAAGTGCTGCTTAGGCCTTAGGGTGGGGTTTGTTTTAGCGTTTATTTTGGGGCAGATTTTTGTCTCTGCTTCCAAATAACCTTCAAACATTAATTTTTTCAACATTTTTGCCACAGCCGATTACCTAGGCCTACCTGGGCAATTCCGTGGGAAGGTTAACCTGAGCATGCCCAAATAAAGTTAGTAATTTCCAAATGAAACCTTGTTCATAATTGTCCTCAAGGTCTATATGTTAGAGTTCAGGCTTTATTTGAAAAGTAGGAAAGTGCATGAATTTTGGCCATTTCAGGGTAGGAGGCCAAGACTCAAAGGCTTTTCAGTCAATCATGTGTCCAAACACTTTGATTCGGTCCTATGTAGCAAAATTTGAAATGATGTTTCTTACATTGGATAAAAATAGAGAATATGGTATATCATACACTACAGTTGAGGAACAGTTGGTACACCTATTTGAGAGCTCTGCTTTGTCTACACCCATTAAGCATCGTTCACACCCTCTTAAGCCTTAGCCCCACCCATCTCTTTAAGGATTCACATGTGAGGCCATGTGCTACACAGAGTGAGTAAGGTAGTGTACTATTATAATAATAATAATAATAATAATAATAATAATAATAATAATAATAATAATAATAATAATAATAATAATAATAATAATATGCCATTTAGCAGACGCTTTTATCCAAAGCGACTTACAGTCATGTGCACATACATTTTTACGTATGGGTGGTCCCGGGGATCGAACCCACTACCCTGGCGTTACAAGTGCCATGCTCTACCAATTGAGCTACAGAGGACCACAACCAAAGATTAAGACTAAAAGTGGTGAAAGTAGTAGTAAAAATACACTATCTAGTCCTTGGCCTATATCCTAATCTGACTTTGGTTCAGGTCATGTCGTTGTTCACATTACCGTCTCTGGTAAATGCACATATCAAATAAAATCAAAGTTTGTCACATGCACAGGATACAGAAGGTGTAACGGTACAGTGAAATGGTTACTTGCATAGTGGAGTCTTTTTTTGTTTAGACCCATAATCCCAACCCATACTACCATGCACCATGCATGAATCTGCAGGTAGCTAAAGCTAACCAACTAGGTTCAATGTTAGCTAGCTATCTAAACATTAGGCTATAACTAGCAATGCAAAAGGATTTCTGAGATACAAATAATATTACTACACAGCTCATATACGTAATGTTAGCTAGCGAACTAGCCAGCTAACAGAATTATATAACTAGAAATGAACACGACTTTCTGGCAAAATTAGACACGTATAATATCTGAAAATTTAGATAAGACTCTTACCCGTATTGTTGAACGCTTCTCCCTCTTTGTCATGGATGCCATGGTTGCCCTTAGTTTGACGATGTAATCCAGAGACAGTGTTTTATACAACTGCCTTCTGTGTTCTCTTTTCGACTCCCACCGCATTTGCAATCATACTCTGCTTCCACCGGGCATTCCACTGATTTCAGAACTCGGTCAACTTCTTCCCAGACAACAACACTGTTTATTGCAGTTTCTTCCCCATCACTGTCATCAGAAGACAATACAATGTCTGGTTTAATGAAAATGTTTTTACCTAAATCTGGGATTTCCTCATCTGATTCCTTTTCGTAGTCAGAGAGTCAGCATGGCACGATTGTCCTCCAGAAAGTAGTTCATCACAACCTTTTCCCACTGATCTTTGTCGATAGCTCCTGTTAAATTCAGGACAGCAGTGTTGAGAGCAGTAGCAACACTTTTGCAGTTCTTCATGACATCTTTTAAAAAGCCGCTGTAGAAAGGATTATCTACACATACTGAGCAGCTAATTTTATAGACAGAAGTGTGCTACATGGCAGACCAATCCGAACTCATTTCGGCATGTCCAGCCCATCCATTATCTCAGCCAATCATGGATAGCGGGAAGGTTCCTGTCTTTTTCCATGGCTAAACCAACTAGGCTCGTAATTTTAAATGTTATATTCGTATTTACAGATGGCATACAAGTTTGTTATTAAGGCACATGAAAGTTCACGTTCCAGAAGGCATTTCTGCCAAAATAACTCATTTTGATGAATACATTTTTTTTTGCCTTCAAATGCTTCTCCTGTGAAGTAGTGACGTGCGATATATTCCTAGCTTCCTGGAACGGGTCACATATTTCATGGCTTTTTGAAAGAGCTCACTGAGCTTGTTTCTCCACTCACAGCTGTCCCCCAGTGTTAGTTATGAAGATGATATGTTAACGAAGCAAACAAACCAAATTGAAGTGTCTTGAGTTTGTTTGAGTGTTCTATAGTCTAGTAAAGATAGGGGACTGACTGGGACAGGCAGTGTAACTTTCTCTGTAAAGTCAACTTTCCTCAAGATTTTATATGGTCTATAATTTGGTTTCTCTCTTTTTATAGTCAGTATCCTTTTTCAGCATTATGATATCCGTAACATCCATAACAGTTGTGGATGTGTTGGATATTGATGTGTCATCTTGCCTTCAGAAGCTTTTGCATTCACCACATTTTCTGTGCTTGTTTTGAGATTCTTCAGACTTTTAGAGAAACAATTGTTGATATCTTGAAAATTATGTGTTCTAGCTAAGATTATCTTGGACAATATATGCTGAAATGCATTTCTCATACATTGTAGTTGAGAAGTGTTTATACACAATCTGTGAATAGTTCTGTAGTCTCTTTTTCAAACGAAAGCCCCCCAAAATATACTGACTTCATCCATTGTCCAGAAAAGTGAATTGGCAGTATAGGCCATTTGTATCTTGTTTCATTTGCATATTTTGTTATAATATTTCAGAAAAGTTGGAATACAAAAAATATATTTGTGTTTACATTTACAATCAACTGGTAAAGATTAATTTTGTAATATATGTATGTACAGTGCATTCAAAGTATTCAGACCCCTTCCCTTTTTCCACATTTTGTTACGTTACAGCCTTATTCTAACATTGATTAAATAAAAACAATTCCTCATCAATCTACACACAATACCCCATAATGACAAAGCGAAAAAAGGTTTTTAGACCATTTAGCAAATATATTAAAAATAAAAAACATAAATGCCTTATTTACATACGTTTTCAGACCCTTTGCTATGAGACTCGAAATTGAGCTCAGGTGCATTCTGTTTCCATTGGTCATCCTTGAGCTATTTCTACAACTTGATTAGACCCCACCTGTGGTAAATTAAATTGATTGGACATTATTTGGAAAGGCAGACACCTGTCTATACAGTGGGGAGAACAAGTATTTGATACACTGCCGATTTTGCAGGTTTTCCTACTTACATTTACATTACATTTTAGTCATTTAGCAGACGCTCTTATCCAGAGCGACTTACAGTTAGTGAGTGCATACATGATATTTTTTTTTTTTATATATATATATATATTTTTTTTTTTCATACTATTTTTTCATACCCCGGTGGGAATCGAACCCACAACCCTGGCGTTGCAAACGCCATGCTCTACCAACTGAGCTACATTCCTGCCGGCCATTCCCTCCCCTACCCTAGACGACGCTGGGCCAATTGTGCGCCGCCCCATGGGTCTCCCGGTCACGGCCGGCTACGACAGAGCCTGGATTCGAACCAGGATCTCTAGTGGCACAGCTAGCACTGCGATGCAGTGCCTTAGACCACTACGCCACTCGGGAGACAACTTACAAAGCATGTAGAGGTCTGTAATTTTTATCATAGGTACACTTCAACTGTGAGAGACGGAATCTAAAACAAAAATCCAGAAAATCACATTGTATGATTTTTAAGTAATTAATTTGCATTTTATTGCATGACATAAATATTTGATCACCTACCAACCAGTAAGAATTCCAGCTCTCACAGACCTGTTAGTTTTTCTTTAAGAAGCCCTCCTGTTCTCCACTCATTACCTGTATTAACTGCACCTGTTTGAACTCGTTACCTGTATAAAAGACACCTGTCCACACACTCAATCAAACAGACTCCAACCTCTCCAAAATGGCCAAGACCAGAGAGCTGTGTAAGGACATCAGGGATAAAATTGTAGACCTGCACAAGGCTGGGATGGGCTACAGGACAATAGGCAAGCAGCTTGGTGAGAAGGCAACAACTGTTGGCGCAATTATTAGAAAATGGAAGAAGTTCAAGATGACGGTCAATCACCTTCGGTCTAGGGCTCCATGCAAGATCTCACCTCGTGGGGCATCAATGATCATGAAGAAGGTGAGGGATCAGCCCAGAACTACACGGCAGGACCTGGTCAATGACCTGAAGAGAGCTGGGACCACAGTCTCAAAGAAAACCATTAGTTACACACTACGCCGTCATTGATTAAAATCCTGCAGCGCACGCAAGGTCCCCCTGCTCAAGCCAGCGCATGTCCAGGCCCGTCTGAAGTTTGCCAATGACCATCTGGATGATCCAGAGGAGGAATGGGAGAAGGTCATCTGGTCTGATGAGACAAAAAGGAGCTTTTTGGTCTAAACTCCACTCGCCGTGTTTGGAGGAAGAAGAAAGATGAGTACAACCCCAAGAACACCATTCCAACTGTGAAGCATGGGGGTGGAAACCTCATTCTTTGGGGATGCTTTTCTGCAAAGGGGACAGGACGACTGCACCGTATTGAGGGGAGGATGGATGGGGCCATGTATCGCGAGATCTTGGCCAACAACCTCCTTCCCTCAGTAAGAGCATTGAAGATGGGTCGTGGCTGGGTCTTCCAGCATGACAACGACCCGAAACACACAGCCAGGGCAACTAAGGAGTGGCTCCGTAAGAAGCATCTCAAGGTCCTGGAGTGGCCTAGCCAGTCTCCAGACCTGAACCCAATAGAAAATCTTTGGAGGGAGCTGAAAGTCCGTATTGCCCAGCGACAGCCCCGAAACCTGAAGGATCTGGAGAAGGTCTGTATGGAGGAGTGGGCCAAAATCCCTGCTGCAGTGTGTGCAAACCTGGTCAAGAACTACAGGAAACGTATGATCTCTGTAATTGCAAACAAAGGTTTCTGTACCAAATATTAAGTTATGCTTTTCTGATGTATCAAATACTTATGTCATGCAATAAAATGCAAATTAATTACTTAAAAATCATACAATGTCATTTTCTAGATTTTTGTTTTAGATTCTGTCTCTCACAGTTGAAGTGTACCTATGATAACAATTACAGACCTCTACATGCTTTGTAAGTAGGAAAACCTGCAAAATCGGCAGTGTATCAAATACTTGTTCTCCCCACTGTATAAGGTCCCACAGCTGACAGTGCATGTCAGAGCAAAAACCAAGCCATGTTGAAGGAATAGTCCATAGAGCTCCAAGACAGGATTGTGTCGAGGCACAGATCTGGGGAAGGGTACCAAAACATTTCTGCAGAATTGAAGGTCCCCAAGAACACAGTGGCTTCCATCATTCTTAAATCGAAGAAGTTTGGAATCACTAAGACTTCCTAGAGCTGGCCGCCCAGCCAAGCTGAGCAATCGGGGGAGAAAGGCCTTGGTCAGGGAGGTGACCAAGAACCCGATGGTCACCCTGACAGAACTCCAGAGTTCCTCTGTGGAGATGGGAGAACCTTCCAGAAGGACAACCATCTCTGCAGCACTCCACCAATCAGGCCTTTATGATAGAGTGGCCAGACGGAAGCCAATCCTTCAGCTGTGAGGTTCATTTTAGAATAAGGCTGTAAAGTAACAAATGTGGAAAAAGTGAAGGGGTCTGAATACTTTCCGAATGCACATTAATATATGTATATTTATGTGTGTGTGTGTGTGTGTGTGTACAGTACCAGTCAAATGTTTGGACACACCTACTCATTCGTTATTCTTTATTTGTACTATTTTCTACATTGTAGAATAATAGTGAAGATATCAAAACTATGAAATAACACATGGAATCATGTAGGAACCAAAAAAGTGTTAAACAAATGAAAATATATTTGAGATTTTAGATTCTTCAAAGTTGCCTTCATGACAGCGTTGCACACTCTTGGCATTCTCTCAACCAGCTTCACCTGGAATGCTTTTCCAACAGTCTTGAAGGAGTTCCCACATATGCTGAGCACTTGTTGGCTGCTTTTCCTTCACTCTGCGGTCCAACTCATCCCAAACCATCTCAATTGGGTTGAGGTTGGGTGATTGTGGAGGCCAGTTCATCTGACACAGCATTCCATCACCCAATCAATTGAATTTACCACAGGTGGACTCAAATCAAGTTGTAGTAACATCTCAAGGATGATCAATGGAAACAGGATGCACCTGAGCTCAATTTTGAGTCTCATAGCAAAGGGTCTGAATACTTGTGTAAATAAGGTATTTCTGTTTTTTAATACATTTGCAAAAATTTCCAAAAAAAAGTTTTTTCTTTGTCATTATGGGGTATTGTGTGTAGATTGTCATGGACAAATGACTTTGTAAAGGTGAGAAGTATGAGTGACTGATGTTCTCTTTTGTGTCTGTATTTCCTGGTTCTTGCAGTACTACATTAGAGATGAACATGGACCACACACACCATGACCATGACCACAGCAAAATGGCTGGCAGCATGGCTCCTCCTGTGGTCACAGGCTCCCACGAGGATCATCTAGGGGGAGGTGGAGTGGGCCATATGATGGTGAGTGGGCCTGGCACTGTAAAAAAGAAATCAGTCACACACTAATTTCTCTCTGTTACAATGTGGGATGTACTTAAAGCCGATTTTATGCTTGATCCGGCAACGAGGTCCGGCAGCTCTGTACGGAGGGTGTGAAGCAATTGCGGAGGCCAAATCAAGCTCCTCACAATTTGTTTTTACAATTCGGAGAGATCCGTATAGCTCCGCATTGATATGATTGGTTGACGGTAGGTGGGGGCGGTACATCCTGTATAAACACAAACTCACTGCCTTCACAACAGCTCTGCTCTGCTCCACAAAGCGCAAGAAGTATGAATGCCCTGACTTCTGCAGAGGCCACATTGCAGTTACATTTTACATTTACATTTTAGTCATTTAGCAGACGCTCTTATCCAGAGCGACTTACAGTTAGTGAATACATATATATATTTTTTCATACTGGTCCCCCATGGGAATTGAAACCACAACCCTGGCGTTGCAAACGCCATGCTCTATCAACTGAGCTACATCCCTGCCGGCCATTCCCTCCCCTACCCTGGACAACGCTAGGCCAATTGTGCGCTGCCCATGAGTCTCCCGGTCGCGGCCGGCTGCGACAGAGCCTGGATACGAACCAGGATCTCTAGTGGCACAGCTAGCACTGCGATGCAGTGCCTTAGACCACTGCGCCACTCAGGAGACTAATCGTGTATGTTCAATGCAGACACTGGAATTACCATAAATGGGCTTTTAGGCTTGGCACCCTGTCTCTGCACTTCCTACAACCTCTCACGAAGTTGTAAATCAGATTCAGATGAATGGTTTTAAACTCTAGTTCAAACGGCCTGCTTGACATTTCTCTCTGCTGTGTGAGCTGAATCACTGTAAACCTCTTGGCTCTGTAGGTGTGTGATACAATTTCTTATTGTTTTCTATCCCTCCTCTTCTCCAGAAAATGACCTTCTACTTTGGCTACACAAACGTGGAGCTGCTGTTTGCCAGCCTTGTCATCAACACACCTGGAGGTAAGTTAGTGTGTGTGTGTTCCCAGAATGTATTATCAGACTTGAAATGTAATGCAAATAGTATTTAATGTAATGACCATGGCCATTGATTACTAAAAATAAATAATTGACTATTTAACCAATGTTAACACCTTTTTACCATGTCTCCTCTCTCAGAGATGGTGGGAGCCTGCATTGGTTGTTTCCTGCTAGCTGTGCTCTATGAGGGGCTGAAGATCGGCAGGGAGTTCCTGCTGAGGAGGAATCAGGTCAACGTGCGCTACAACTCCATGCCTATCCCAGGGGCAGACGGCACCATGGTCATGGAGACCCACAAGACTGTAGGGTGAGTGAGACCAACCATGCAATAGGACTCCTTACTAACCGGACACATAGTAGTACTGCAGTGAAGTGTTCCATTTTACACCCAAATTATGAGACTTCTAGACATGGCAGTTCAAAAGGGCTACTCGCTCTATATCAACTTGCAGTAGGAAAATGTGAAGCCTCACTGACTTGCAGAGTGCTGTCAATTAGTTTATTTGAAAACATGACTTTTTAATAATCCTGTTTCCCTCTCTCCACTGCAGCCAGCGGATGCTGAGTTTGGCACACTTGCTGCAGACGGTGTTACACATCATCCAGGTGGTGGTCAGCTATTTCCTCATGTTGGTCTTCATGACCTACAATGCTTACCTGTGTATCGCCGTGGCAGCCGGGGCAGGCGTCGGATACTTCTTATTCAGCTGGAAAAAGGCTGTGGTTGTTGACATCACCGAACACTGTCACTAATAGCCCCCCACACACATACATACATACATACATACATACATACATACATACATACATACACACATATCACACACAGGTATTCTCCATTTAATCCCCATCGTCATCATCATGCATCCAGTTTTATATACATGTATCACATTTGGACAGTTCACTTTGTCACACAAAAGCTGCTTGATGGCAAATGTGAATTATGACTGAGCTTTTACATTTGTGACAAATTTAAGTCTGTCCCTTTAGTAGGTCCAGAATACTACCCTCGCCACCTAGCATGATGTTGGTATTCCAAATGCTGGCTTGTTATAGCAGCACCTCTCCTGTCTCTCTCCACAGCTCTGTCAAGGGCCATACATCCACTTCCCCCAGTCGTGCCATTCTTCCATTCCCATTCTGTGTTTTTGTTATTGCGCAACAATCAGTGCAGGTTCATCCTTATAGCACTGGGGCTCTAGGCTCTTCTGCTCACACAGGGCATTTTACCACCCTTACAACAACCTCTCTCCTTGAAGATCATTGTGAATAGGGCCCAGAGTTTTTCCTGACCCCACCCCACCTGGGTCCTAGTTAAAGCCAATGTGTTCTTCTGAAGCCTAGTCATATCTGCATTCCATCTGACAATTCGGTGGGGGGGGGGGCATACATAATCGGTGTCTCACAACTACAGGAGTCAAAGGTCATACTTGGGATTGTGTGGAGATGGTCAGGCAGCTCTGGCTGTATGACTGAGCCTTACTAAACCCTTTGCCTTAAAGGAGGGAAAAAGGACAGCCTAGGCCAACTGTAGTCTAGACCCATAGTCTACTGACAAGTGCCAGCGCTATTTTAAAGAAGTTTGTCCAGTGGACAAGCAGTGAAGTACAGTACACTTTACATGTCACCTGATTATATAAATTAGAGTGTAATGCAGCAGAATGTGACGACCTTTAAAACCCTCTTCATGATACACACTGCTATGCAGTGTTCAGTCTTGGATAGTTTATGAATGACAACCTCATTATTTTCCAATGACACTTGGCACTCGAAGGCTGGATCTGACCCATAAATGTAAATTGACTCTCGCACATCAAGAAGCCATTGTAAAAATGTTATAATATAACTTGGGAGTAACCTTTGGTGCATTCATTCAATAGGGTTAAATTAGTTAGCATGTCAACACAACATGGATACTAGTGTCCTTATCGGAGCAAGTGCTCAGATCCCAAGGACAAGCAGGGAACTATGGGAAAGTAGGAGGATGGACCTAGTGCTTTCTCAGACGGACCTAGTAACACATGATTACTGCACCTCTTGTGACCTATCGGTGCTTAGGCCTCACAGTACACACTTTGACAGGGGGGATAACTATGAAGTAGAACCTAAAGAGAAAGTTGTATTTTTAGTTTATTTTGATATTATACGTTTTTGAATCTCTGAGAAATTACTAGTAAATGTTTGTATCAGTTGCCTAAGGCTGCGTTTACACAGGCAGCCTGATTCTGACCTTTTGCTGATTTATTTGGCAATAGAGCTGATTTGATTGGTCAAAAGACCAATTAGTGGAAATGTCAGCGTTGTCTGTCTGTGTAGACAGGCAGCCCAATTCTGATTTATTTTTTGTGCTAATTGGTCTTTTGACCAATCAGATCAGCTCTGAAAAAGATCTGATGTGATTGGTCAAAAGACCAATTAGTGGAAAAAAATATCAGCATTGGGCTCCTTGTCTAAACACAGCCTTAGTGATGTGCCGTGCCTGGTTTGGGGGTCAAATTCCTAGTTGCTTTAACTGGATTTAACAGCCACACATTCTCATTACATTACAATCAAGCCAGGGACATTAATAGTTAAGTGTACACTTGAACATATTATAACCGTTTCTGCTTTACCAAGTGGGATCATGTATAAAGACTATTTGTTATTATAGTCTACTGTACAAATCTAGCGTTGAAGTTAATGGGCCAAAACAGCAGTGGGAATCTGACCGCCACTCCAGCGCATAATCAGTGTGAATATTACCTGGACTGTCCACAGACATGTCTGTATAGTTTGACATATTTACAGTGCTGTAATCATCTAGAGAAAACAAGTAATAAATGGTATCATTCAAGAACTGTATGTTTTGATTCTGTTGCGTTCTCATAATGTGGCTTTGAAGGCCAATAAAAGTACAATCATACCATCGTAAGTAATAACTGATTAGTTATCAAGTCCATTCAGTTCATTCCATCTTGCCCCACAGATGCTACCTTCACCTTCCTGGGACTACCAAGTCTGGATTTTTGTAATAAAGGAGGGAAACCACTACAACAGCTCTTACTAAACATATTGTACAAAAAGCCACACACTTCACATCGCAAGTCATAACATTTCAGGTAAATGCAGCAACATTTACTTTAGAAGATGTGTGTTATAAGCAAAACGTGATCCTCAAACTACACCTTTCTATGTAGAGATAATTCTGATCTCAGGTAAGCACACAAGTATCCCTGACCATGTCAATACCACAGTCACTGTGCCATCCACACACCAATGCTGGAGGAGCCAAACGTTTGAGCAGTCTCTTTAATGTGCCCATTAGGAACCTAAAACTGCAGGTTTCCAAAGAGTGATGGCAAGGTGCTGGGTTTAGGATGGGGCTTGTAGCCTATTCTCTCGTTGATCATCTGTTCCCGTGTCTTCCGATCCCCTGTTCCACCACTGGCCCCCACCATGTCACTAGACGTTGCCACACCAACAACATCCACTTCATCTCTCTGTTTTTTCCGACTCTGAGAGGTAGGGAGAAAAAAACGTAGGTGGTTAGACATAGAAGTTCTGGTATGTATACTTCATGTAATTACTATACTAAATGCGCTTTTCTCACACCCAAGGCGCGGATTTTATGTCAATCATCAAGCGTTTCTTAAAGTTAATGAGGACTTTAAAAAAAACTGGTAGCAGGCAATCCATCAACAAGCATTGCCTCTTTATTATGCCTTCATACCAGCAGATACTAAAGATTATCCATGATGCTGTGGCTACTCACTTCAAGCTCTTTCTTGACACACTCAAACTCCTCAGTGTCATCCAACTTAAACTCCAGGCGGGTGGGCTTTCTGCGTAGCATGTTACATCCACTAACGTTAGCTGAGAAACAGATGTGCCCAGGCTGTCAGTACTAACTAATAGCTAGATGGCTAAAGACAGAAGGGTGACAGATCAATTATTGAGTGTAATAATATGGCTTGCATTTGCTAAATCACTTAGCTAGCTATATGCAATTACTACACAATAGTTCATGTTAGGCTACCAAACAAATGAATCGCACTAAAAATCTCTTAGCAACAACTTGCTAGCGAACTAGCAAGCTGTCACGCTAACTACAGCAAAGACTACAGTGACAGACCAAGCATGGCTAAAGAGAGCAAAATTGAGCACTCCATTCGTCAATACGTTGTCTCTGAGCCAGTGGTACACACAAAGAAACAGGCAAATCGTTCATATTTGCTTACATTTTGTTATTGTTGTTTATTTGGACAGTAGCTAGCTAGCCACGCACTGTAAAATCCGCCATAAATTGACGAAGGGCTTCTGGGTAACGTAGTTTTCAGCAGTGCCCCGTGTGGGTATGTTTGACCTCTTTTCCACTACTAAAATTGATTTAATTATTTTTCCCCTCATCAATCTACACACAATACCCTATAATGATGAAGCGAAAACAGGTTTTTTGAAATGTTTGCAAATTTATTCAAATGTAAAAACAGAAATGTTAAACCCTGTTTTCTATAGACAACTTCCTGTGCTCGTACAGCAATACAACGTGAACCGGCTACCACTTTTGTGTTTTGATTTTGCTACCTGGTTACGGTTCTTTTGTAATTGCTTTGTTATTTCAAACCCGATACTAAAATACAGGTAAATTAATCACCGTAAATGTTGAACATTTTGTCTATTTGGTTATGCTTTTGGCAAACTGCTGAGTGTGTATTTAGGTTACCTAACGTTAGCTAGTTAGGCTATGTCAACGTACTGTTGTGTAAAGACAGTACTTTACAAACTCCCATGATTTTGTCAATGCATCCTAGCCATTTGATTTACTGATTAGGGAGTTGTCTATTGTTGGTCAGCAAATTGCTAGTTAGCAAGCTACACACTTTGCATCTTTAGATTTAGGTGGTTGGCTATCAAGTTCTCATTCCATTTATTCATATCTCTGTGTGGCTATTGTCTACTCCAGGACAGTATCATTCATTGTGGTGAACAGTGGGACCAGACATAAAGACCAGAGATGTCTGACGATGATGAAGCACCGCTGGTGAAGAAGACCAGGATTTTCTATGGCAGTCTGGAGGAGAAGGAGAGGGAGAGGCTGGGACGAGAGTCCTCTGGGTCAGGCAAAGATTCTGTCAAAGCAGGCATCGAGGCTGGCAACATCAACATCTCCAGTGGTCAGTATACCATTACTGTTTATGGTTGCAGTCACATGTACAGTACCAGTCCGAAGTTTGGACACACCTACTCATTTTTACAATTTTCGACATTGTAGAATAATAGTGGAGACATCAAAACTATGAAATAGCACATATGGAATCATGTAGTAACCAAAAAAGTGTTAAACATATCAATATATTTTAGATTCTTCAAAGTAGCCACCCTTTGCCTTGATGACAGCTTTGCACACTCTTGGCATTCTCTCAACCAGCTTCATGAGGTATATAATATAATATATAATATGCCATTTAGCAGACGCTTTTATCCAAAGTGACTTACAGTCATGCGTGCATACATTTTTTGTGTATGGGTGGTCCCGGGGATCGAACCCACTACCTTGGCGTTACAAGCGCCGTGCTCTACCAGCTGAGCTACAGAGGACCACATGGTTATCCAGGTAGTCACCTGGAATGCATTTCAATTAACAGGTGTGCCTTGTTAATTTGTGGAATTTATTTCCTTCTTAATGTGTTAGAGCCAATCAGTTGTGTTGTGACAAGGTAGGGGTGGTATACAGAAGTTAGCCCTATTTGGTAAAAGACCAAGCCCATATTATGGCAAGAACAGCTCAAATAAGCAAAGAGAAACTACAGTCCATCATTACTTTAAGACATGAATGTCAGTCTATCCGGAAAATGTCAAGATCTTTGAAAGTTTCTTCAAGTGTAGTTGCAAAAACCATCAAGTGCTATGATGAAACTGGCTCTCATGAGGACCGCCACAGGAAAGGAAGACCAAGAGTTACCTCTGCTGCAGAGGATAAGTTCCTTAGCGTTACAAGCCTCATAAATTGCAGCCCAAATAAATGCTTCACAGAGTTCAAGTAACAGACACATCTCAACATCAACTGTTCAGAGGAGACTGCGTGAATCAGGCCTTAATGGTCGAATTGCTGCAAAGAAACCACGACTAAAGAACATACTTGTATGGGCCAAGAAACACGATTTGGTCTGATGAGTCCAAATTTGAGATTTTTGGTTCCAACCGCCGTGTCTTTGTGCGACGGAGAGTAGGTAAACGGATGATCTCTGCATGTGTGGTTCCCACCGTGAAGCATGGAGGAGGAGGTGTGATGGTGTGGGGGTGCTTTGCTGGTTACACTGTCAGTGATTTATTTAGAATTCAAGGCACACTTAACCAGCATGGCTACCACAGCATTCTGCAGCGATACGCCATCCCATCTGGTTTGCGCTTAGTGAGACTATCATTTGTTTTTCAACAGGACAATGACCCAACACACCTCCAGGCTGTGTAAGGGCTATTTGACCAAGAAGACGAGTGATAGTGCTGCATCAGATGACCTGGCCTCCACAATCACCCAACCTCAACCCAATTGAGATGGTTTGGAATGAGTTGGACCGCAGAGTAAAGGAAAAGCAGCTCAGCATATGTGGGAATTCCTTCAAGATGGTTGGAAAAGCATTCCAGGTGAAGCTGGTTGAGAGAATGCCAAGAGTGTGCAAAGCTGTCATCAAGACAAAGGGTGGCTACTTTGAAGAATCTAAAATATATTTTGATTTGTTTAACACATTTTTGGTTAGTACATGATTCCATATGTGTTATTTCATAGTTTTGATATCTTCACTATTATTCTACAATGTAGAAAATAGTACAAATAAAGAAAAACCCTTGAATGAGTAGGTGTCCAAACTTCTGACTGGTACTGTATGTGTGTCTCTATTAAGTCAACTTACTTTCTCTCTTTATCCTCTCAGGTGAGTCCCTTGAGCTTGAGGAGCACGTGAGTGAGCGCCAGTCTGAGGTATTGGCAGACTTTGAGCGCAGAAAGCGAGCGAGACAGATCACAGTATCCACAGACGATGCAGAGGTCAAAGCTTGCTTACGGGCCCTTGGGGAGCCAATCACACTGTTTGGTGAGGGGCCTGCTGAGAGACGAGAGAGGTGTGTCACACAAGCATGGTTCTGTCCTCCCCTTCTAATATTTTAATGTGTGGATCAACAATTAAAGACCCTCTGAAAATTCTCTGATGCTTTTACAACATGTCAACCCCGTTCATTTACCAATTAAAACTGCAGTTTTGAGGTATTGTCTTTCTGCTTGAAAACACCCTATCTAAAGTTATATTTGGCATGCATTATATCCACCTCTAACCTTTGCTCAACCTCTCTCTTGCCCTCCCCGATTTTGTTATTTCTTTTCCAGGCTGAGGAATATCCTTTCTGTAGTGGGCCCAGATGCACTAAAGAAATCTAAGAAGGATGATGAGAGATCCAAACGTTCCCAAGAGGAGGTATGATTTGTAGCTTGACTCTCCTATATCTTTCTCTCACTACTACAACTTTTACACTGTATTCATTCAATATGGAGATAAACACACACATTTATATATTCTCCTGTCCATGTGTTTCAGTGTCAGCAGACGTGGTACCACGAGGGACCGACCACTCTGAAGGAGGCAAGGCTATGGTTGGCCAGATACTCTCTGCCCAGGTAATATAATAATATATGCCATTTAGCAGACGCTTTTATCCAAAGCGACTTAGTCATGCATGCATACATTGTTACATATGGGTGGCCCAGCGAATCAAACCCACAATCTTGGTGTTACAAGCGCCATGCTCTACCAACTGAGCCATACAGGAACATGGTACAGCTTGATTCTAATATTAGACCATAGTGACCATGATGACAATGACAGTTTCAATGGTTGTCAGGAAGTAGCATGTGTGTGATGCCTCAACAGGGCTGTGAAGAGGTTAGAGGACGCCAGAGCTCACAGGGAGATTCCAGAATCCACACGAACAGTCCGAACGCAAGAACTTCACAAGACCCTCAGGGTACGTCCTCCATCAAAGTCTCCAGAATAATTCAAGAACCTGTCTTGTTTGTGAAAACAGTTGTAGAATATCATAATTTTCTCTGCCCACTCAGAACCTGAGTAACTTCTGCAGTCAAATCGGTGACGACAGACCTATATCCTTCTGCCAGTTTAGCCCTAACTCCAAAATGCTTGTGACTGCATCTTGGTGAGTCCCTCAGTCTCCTCCCATTGCACTGCACAGACAGCAATGGTCTTGATGGGGTTTTATATCCATTTAGCCATCAAATAAGCATTTGTTAGAAGAAATGTCCTTGTCTTCCTGACTTGTTTTTTTCTCTCTAGGAGTGGCCTGTGTAAACTGTGGAATGTTCCAGACTGCACCCTTATCCGTACTCTTCGGGGTAAGAAGTATCTCTTATTTTTCTCAAATCATTTTACCCTTTCTTATCCATTGCATTGCAATTACTCTTTGTTTTTACTTCTGAAGTCCTGAATTAGGGCTGGGCGGTATACCGTATTTTACGATATACCGGTATGGTATTGATGCATGGACCGGTTTGGGTTTTTACTTTACCTTCTATAACGGTATTTGAATGTTTGGTTTGTTAAATGTGTTACGCTGTGTGTAACGTCCATTTTTATAGTTTACTTCGCTACTTGAGTCATCTCTATCCGCGCTTTCTCTCTCCATGCCGCTTTGTACGCAGACCTAGCCCGGCTCCGCCCCCGTCACTCAAGGAGCGCATTTTGTTGTTCCTCGACCACGAGAGACACTTGCGTTCAGTCTGCATGGTCAATGTAGCACATGCAACAATGTTGATGACAATGATGGTGTTTTCACTTTGCTTCTTAATATAAATTCACTAACATTCTATAATTACACTATTAGTTTGTGTTTCTTACATCTGCAAACAGCTAGTTTGTCATTTCTTAGCAAGTTGGCCCGAAATCCTGTTAACCACTAATGCTAATCAGTCAGAGCAAAAGTAATTAGCTATACAGCCTGATAATACCAGTGACGGTGTAGACCCCCCCCCACATTCTGAAAATATATATGCCCCCCCCCCCCAACTTCTAACCAAAGAAGAACTATAGAATTAAAATAATCATTCTATTTCCATGATTCCAACAGTTAACCCAAGTGTTTTGCTCTAAATTGCAAGTCAAATCGAATTGAAACGTTTGGTTAATAATAAGGCCTAGATTGTTTGTACATGTCATGCAGCCCTACGTGGCAGTGTGGAAGTGATCTCAAATGAGTGAAACAAATGCAGAAATTGATGAAAATGCAGATTTTTTTGAACAGTATAAAACAATCAGAATGAAGACCCATTGAAATCACGTGGAATGGGGCCTCCCGAGTGGCGCATCGGTCTAAGGCACTGCATCGCAGTGCTAGAGGCTTCACTACAGACCCGGGTTCGATCCCGGGCTATGTCACAATCGGCCGTGATCGGGAGTCCCATAGGGCGGCGCACAATTGGCCCAGCGTCGTCCGGGTTCGGGGAGGGTTTGGCCGGGGGGGCTTTACTTGGCTCATCGCGCTCTAGCGACTCCTTGTGGCCGGCCGGGCGCCTGCAGACTGACCTCTGTGTTTCCTCCAACACATTGGTGCGGCTGGCTTCCGGGTTAAGCGGGAGGGTGTTAAGAAGCACAGTTTGGCGGGTCATGTTTCGGAGGACGACCTTCGCCTCCGGACCCTTGGGGAGTTGCAGCGATGAGAAGATCGAGAAAAGGGGGTAAAATATAAAAAATAATCTCATAGTATGTGTTGCCACCTAGGCTCACAGACTACTCATGAATACAATTTGGAACTTTTATTATTCAAAAACATTAAATACCGTCATACTGTCCTTTTAAAAATGTTTTATACTGTGATATGCTATTTTGGCCATATCGCCCAGCCCTATCCTGAATGATAATGATAATAGTTCTTCTCTTTCCCTATCCTCAGGCCACAACACCCACGTGGGGGCCATCTGTTTCCATCCTCAGGCCACTCTGACTCTGGACGACTCTGATGTTAACATGGCCTCCTGTGCTGCCGACGGCTCCGTCAAACTCTGGAGTCTGGACAGGTCTGCTCTGGTTGATATCATACTGTATGTCTGTCTTTATCTCTGTCTGTCAAATGAGGGAAACTACCTAAAGTTTTATAAAATAAGATTCAGGAATAAATGGAGAGGGTTGACAAAAGCAGTATATGTTTTTTTCCAAATCTTATCATCAACAGTAGCTCACTGAGCTGGTGAAATTAATGGTGGTGATTTAAAATGCATGTTGATGTGTTGTAACCATGGTAACCCCTCTCTCTGCAGGGATGAGCCTGTAGCTGACATCGAGGGTCACTCCCAGAGGGTAGCACGAGTAGCCTGGCACCCCTCTGGATGCTTCCTGGGCACCACCTGGTGGGTGAATTTATTTTTAAACATTCTTTAAATTGTCTTGTTCTATCATTTTCCGAATGGCCGATCAAGGCAATACAATAAAACCAAAACATGGTCACTTGCACCAAATGTCTCAACTTTAGCCATATGTATTTACATTTTTACATTTTAGTCATTTTAGCAGACACTCTTATCCAGAGCGACTTACAGTTAGTGAGTGCATACATTTTTCATACTGGCCCCCCGTGGGAAACGAACCCACAACCCTGGCGTTGCAAGCACCATGCTCTACCAAGTGAGCTACAGGGGACATATATATGTTACTCTGGTCAGACTTGTGTCATTTGAATTGAATCTGAAGTGGGGCTTAATTCTCTCTGTCCCCTCTCCCTAGCAGCTATGACAACTCCTGGAGGCTGTGGGACCTGGAGGCCCAGGAGGAGATCCTGCACCAGGAGGGACACAGTAAAGGAGTCCACGACCTGCACTTCCATCCTGACGGCTCTTTGGCAGGCACTGGGTAAGATCTCACTGGAAATGCTATGAAAGTCTATGTCAATTGTCAATATTTGTTTACAATACGTTATTATTGGAGATACCGAAGATATCTCTGAAACTTTAAAAAAACGTACATTTTTGTGTTGTCTTTTGCTTGTCTCTGCACATCCTGTTGCAATGTGTTGCCAGCAAATCAAGTGAGTGGCTGGTCTCTTTTGTAGAGTATTATCCCATTATTTCTACATCAGACCTTCAGATAACTTGGATCTCAGTGTCATCTCCAAAACGAAAACATTAGCTAGAAAAGGCTTTAATCAGAGCAGATCTATATTTGGCCTATAGAAGGGGATGGGGGGCTGTAGTAAAACAATGGTCTGATTCTGTGGTTCAATGGTCTGTTTAATGAAGGCCAGTAGATGTCCACCCAGTTATCTCAATTAGAAGCTTGGCAGAACAAAGAGCCTTTCAGTGGCTGGCTGGACTTTAATCATACAGGGATATTCCCTTCATATCCCCTCATAATAACCTGCTGCCTTACATACACTCACTTCCCAACTCTCTCAGTGCACATTGATCTCATTGATCTCATGCATATAATCAACTCAATCTACTGCCTGAGCAATTTGGAGGACTGAGAAGGTTTAGTAGCTTGTTCTGTGATGTTATAACCTAAATTAAATTAAGGCAGATGCAACTGGCTCCATGTGACACACGAGCTGATGTGTTTGTGTACAGATCTACGCTATTGTTGTAAAGCGTCTTGAATGGTGCAAGTCAGTCAGCCCAATTTGTATACAGTAGAAGGAATTACAGATCACTATTCACCTCTCATCTACAGGACTGTTGGTTGAATCCTAGTTTGCCTCGGTACACAATATTCATCTCTCTTTCTCAGGGGTCTGGATTCGTTTGGGCGTATTTGGGACCTTCGGACCGGGCGCTGTGTGATGTTCCTGGAGGGCCACCTCAAAGAGATCTACAGCATCGACTTCTCTCCCAACGGGTAAATGACATGGGAGATACTGTGTTATTGATATCTTATGGATAAGACCAGATAATCCTGACCATGTGATCTATAACTACGGTAGGAGAAACTCTGGTAGGAAAAACTCCTGGCCCTACTTATTGATGATGATAAGCCTGAGAGTGTGTGTTTGTAGGTCCAGTATTGAAACCATCTTCTCCTCTGTTTAGCTACCATGCAGCAACAGGAAGTGGGGATAACACCTGTAAGGTGTGGGACCTGCGTCACAGGAAGTGCATCTACACCATCCCCTCCCATCAGAACCTGGTGTCCTCCATCAAATTCCAACGTGAGTTTTTCCACGTCCCAGAGGCTACCTCCCTTACTTTTTAATTGCACCTTAAAGGGATACTTTGGGATTTGGGCGATTAGGCCCTTTATCTACTTCCCCAGAGTCAGATGAACTCGTGAATACAATTTTCATGTCTCTGTCCATGCTAGTAGATACCCATAAACTTCCAGTCATTGCGCTAATGCTAGTTAGCATTGGCTCATTGGCTTGCAAAGCTCCCTCTAACTTCCTTCATACTGGATAGAGACATAAAAATGGTATCCATGAGTTCATCTGACTCTGAGGAAGTAGATAAAGGGCCTCATTGCCAAAATCTCAAAATATCCCTTTAACTTCATTTGGATTGATCCAGCATATGAACTGTAAATACTTGATTGACCCTATAATGGCATATATAGGTAACCCTTTGCACATTTTCATGCCAACGAATATCTCAATTATTTTCAAAAGTCACATGGTAAACGTTTTAGCAGCTAGTTATGGACTGCTATAACTGGTTGCAATATTTCTGTGCTCGCATTTCCCTCTCCATCTGTTCCTCTCTTAGCCATTGACGGTCACTTCCTCCTGACCGGGGCCTATGACAACACAGCCAAGGTGTGGACCCACCCGGGCTGGTCCCCCCTGAAGACCCTGGCAGGCCACGAGGGCAAGGTGATGGGCGTGGACATGTCCCCTGACGGACAGCTCATCGCCACCTGCTCCTACGACCGCACCTTCAAGCTCTGGATGTCAGAGTGAGCAGGGGAGGGAGTATCACCCATAGAAATAGAATGGCATTCTATGGTACCACCTGTACCACTATTTCTATGGTACTACCTGTACCACACCTGTACTACTATTTCTATGGTAATACCTGTCATCCCATGCAAATAGAAGATCGTAAACCAAGATCTGCTACATATTTGCTTTTTCACGATTGACGGATGACTCTTTGAACATCCTAAATATTCTGAATTGTACACTTGTCTGATTTACATTTAGTAGATGGTTAAATTATTATTGAACAACAACGTTATCGAGTCTCCTGATTTTGTCTACAACTTTGAAGTTGTGGGCATACCTCCTGTCCTTTCTCCCAGATTATTTTTAAAATAATATGTTTTAGGTGATTTGTAAACACGTATCAGTTGGTGTCAGAAGTCGATCCAATTGCCCTTTGTCTTGTTTTTAATAAAAACATAAACTCCATATTTTCTTCTTTCATTCTTTTACAATTGCACATGACAAAATGGTTACAGCCAGGTAACTGGCAAAATAATGGAAACACGTAAATGAGGGATACAAAGTATATTGAAAGCAGGTGCTTCCACAGGTGTGGTTCCTAAATGAATTAAGGGTCATGCATAAAAATGCTGGACAGGCCATTATTTTAGCTACCATGGCTTACCATAGGATGACAATGCCCCATCCACAGGGCACGAGTGGTCACTGATTGGTTTGATGAGCATGAAAACGACGTAAACCATATCCCATGGCTGTCTCCATCACCAGATCTCAACCCAATTGAACACTAATGGGAGATTCTAGAGCGGCACCTGAGACAGCGTTTCCATCAACAAAACACCAAATGCTGGAATTTCTAGTGGAAGAATGGTGTCACTTCTCTCCAATAGAGTTCCATACACTGGTAAAATCTATGCCAAGGTGCATTGAAGCTGTTCTGGCTCGTGGTGGCCCAAAGCCCTATTAAGAAATGTAATGTTGGTGATTCCTTTATTTTGGCAGTCAGTTACCTGTACATGCTCACACTGATAAATTATACTATAACTCAACGAAGTGTGTATAAAATAAGACTTTAAATAATCAAGATACCAATAGCCCAAATGTCCAACTGTATAGTTGAAAGGAGGCAGTAGAGGAGTCTGGGTTGTAGGTGAGCGCATTGAGTTCTTTATCCAGCATCCCATTTTGAGTGCTGAAACGTTCTTTCTCCCACAAGTCTTCAAATCAAATCAGAAACATCTTCCTGCGTAAAATGACACACAGACACAATGTTGTCCCCCACACAACTTTGTCAATCTCCTGACCAATATGTTCTCCCCAGTAATGTTAATTGCACACGTTATAACTAAGGCCTGGCATTTTCCTTGGTCAGATCACGCAGTCAGGCCCTAGTTATAACATATATTTTCCATTGTGTAGCCTTGGAAGCCCAGGTGTCCCTATAATCAGTTACAGGAGGTACTGTAATGGGAAAACTGCTGGCCAGATGCTTTAATAACTCCTGTCATTCATACATGACTGGGCAGCCTAGCAGCACCACCAGCAGCAGAAGAAGCGCCTGCAGCAGGGGCTCCTGTGGAAGCGAGGCTCAGCCAGTCCTCCATGGTTCCAGGTGGCCTGAGGCTGCTCTATGATGGACTGCTTCCCAAAGGAGGGCTTGTGCTCCAGCTGGTTGCTTAGTTCTCTTCCTCCCTGCCGGGGGCTGGACCTCTGGCTGTGCATGTCAGCCTTGACCCCCAGGAAAGATGCTAGGTCCAGGTCCAGGGCTGTAGCTCCCCCGCGAGGTAGCGGGGTATTCTGCCGGCATTGTGGACAGGGGATCCACATCTGCTGGGGAGTAGGAGAGAGAGCAGGGTTGATTGGGACACGTTGGTTCGTCAATCCCGTTATAGATTTTTAGGTAGGCTAATAGTAATGACTGCTGTAGCTAATAATGAGATCTCAATACAGCATTCCTCTTCGAAAGTGTCTGGAAGGAATCCGTTGCTCTTCAGGATTGGTCAAATTAATTTGAGATTATGCATATTGGCTGATCCTAACAAATCAGGTCTCCCCTTTATCAAATCACTTTCACGAAATCAAAGGAACAAGCTAATAGCTTGCCTTTGGGACATAGGCCAGTCTGTTTGAGCTATTCTGAAAGTGGTCCAAAGATCTTTTACTTTTTATAGTCCCTAATTGACCAGAGATGCTGCCTCTGTAGGACTGCTGTTGTGACAATCAGTCAGACCCACCTGCTCATTGAGGATGGTGTCAAGGCGTCTCAGGCAGGCCTGGCAGAAGGTGTGGCCGCAGTAGAGCTTGCGTGGCAGCCTCTCAGTCAGGTTGAAGGCACAGAAGCAAATGATACAGTCCAGTTTACGGCTATCTCTGGATGGCTGAACTCCTCCAGCCTCCACACCACCCTCTACTGGGGGATCTACAGGGGCCTCTGGGGCCTCTAGGTTAGGGGCCTCTGCTGGTGCCTCTGGGGCATGAAAGTCTGGGGTATCAGGTACTGGGGCTTCCTCCTCCTCATCCATCCTGTACAGGAAACCAGATTATGAATGGCGCTTATTGCTAGGGCCCAAGTGACATTACGACTACAACTGATAATAAAATATTTATAGCACCTGTTATGTGCAATACAATGCAGCCCAATGCTTAATAGGTCAAATAATCAAACACACCTGCAGCCAAATTATTGGAGAAAACTAACAGCTGATTAATACAAAGAGTGAGGAAAATAGAGGAATGGAATGAATAAGGCATTTAGACTAAAGAAAAAGGATTGAGACCCACGTTTGATGTCAGCTGTGGACTTCTGTTCCAACACTCTCTGTCCGGTCAGTCAGCTGTGGACTTCTGTTCCAACACTCTCTGTCCGGTCAGTCAGCTGTGGACTTCTGTTCCAACACTCTCTGTCCGGTCAGTCAGCTGTGGACTTCTGTTCCAACACTCTCTGTCCGGTCAGTCAGCTGTGGACTTCTGTTCCAACACTCTCTGTCCGGTCAGTCAGCTGTGGACTTCTGTTCCAACACTCTCTGTCCGGTCAGTCAGCTGTGGACTTCTGTTCCAACACTCTCTGTCCCGTCAGTCAGCTGTGGACTTCTGTTCCAACACTCTCTGTCCGGTCAGTCAGCTGTGGACTTCTGTTCCAACACTCTCTGTCCGGTCAGTCAGCTGTGGACTTCTGTTCCAACACTCTCTGTCCGGTCAGTCAGCTGTGGACTTCTGTTCCAACACTCTCTGTCCGGTCAGTCAGCTGTGGACTTCTGTTCCAACACTCTCTGTCCGGTCAGTCAGCTGTGGACTTCTGTTCCAACACTCTCTGTCCGGTCAGTCAGCTGTGGACTTCTGTTCCAACACTCTCTGTCCGGTCAGTCAGCTGTGGACTTCTGTTCCAACACTCTCTGTCCGGTCAGTCAGCTGTGGACTTCTGTTACAACACTCTCTGTCCGGTCAGTCAGCTGTGGACTTCTGTTACCAACACTCTCTGTCCGGTCAGTCAGCTGTGGACTTCTGTTCCAACACTCTCTGTCCGGTCAGTCAGCTGTGGACTTCTGTTCCAACACTCTCTGTCCGGTCAGTCAGCTGTGGACTTCTGTTCCAACACTCTCTGTCCGGTCAGTCAGCTGTGGACTTCTGTTCCAACACTCTCTGTCCGGTCAGTCAGCTGTGGACTTCTGTTCCAACACTCTCTGTCCGGTCAGTCAGCTGTGGACTTCTGTTCCAACACTCTCTGTCCGGTCAGTCAGCTGTGGACTTCTGTTCCAACACTCTCTGTCCGGTCAGTCAGCTGTGGACTTCTGTTCCAACACTCTGTCCGGTCAGTCAGCTGTGGGGTGATATAAGACAACAGGTTGGTTGGAAGCAGAGACACCGATATCTATTTACTGGATAAGAGTGTCTGCTAAATGACAAAAATGTAAATGTAAACCGAATGTCAGTCTCACTCAGATCTTCTATACCAGCAGTTCTCAAACCTCTCCTCAGGGACCCTCAGCCCTTAAATGTATTTTAACTATTCCACAGCTACCAAACCTGATTCAAATTGTGAACTAATCATCAAGCTCTTGACTAGGTGAATCAGGTGAATTAGTTCAGGGCTACAACAAAATTGTGAAACGTCTGGGGGTCCCTGAAGAGAGGTTTGAGAACCACTGTTCGTTACTACCTATTGATTGTCCTTAACTAAAACATTGCCTAACAGAACTGAAAAAAAAAACTTACAAAACATGGCATACCTTCTGGTTTGTCCACCAAACCTCCTAAATGTCCTTGGTAGTTCCCTGGAGACCTGGCCTAACTTCTGTTTTCAAAGCAACCTCCGTCCCAGGACCAGTCCAGCGTCGTACTCCTTTACTGACAAACTAAAGCTACACTACTGTTATACAGTATAGGGTCAGATAGTAGAGAGATGACCTTATTACATAGCCTAGTTCCTGTTGTCTCTAGTACAATCCCCTGGAGGGTAGGTCCTCCTCCCTTTATCTCCCCTGTTGTTCTACTCTACTCTTCCACATAAGCTGCTCTCGTCTCTAATGAAGGGCAAACAATGTGGAAGCCTGCAGCGGCTGCTCAGGCCGTTTAATATTTCAGGCTGCCCGTCCCTGTGAACTCGCACTCATAGGCCTGTCAATGGAGCGTGTTACATATTAAATATGCCACAGAGAACAGTGGGGTTCTCATGGGGAGAGGGAGCTTATTAATCTAATCTATGGGGCCAATGGGATGGGCCCTTGGCCTCTCTGCCCTACCATGTATACAATCAAACACACATATGCACTGGTGTGCACGCAAACATATACACGATAACACACACACTCACAGGCGACCCAGGCTCACGTTCCTGTTTGGAGGGAGCAGGCAGCAGATTAGCTTACACTGGCAACAACAGACAAGAAGAAACCCTACACTCTCCATCCACTAGCATACAGCACTCAACTTCATAAGACCCAGTCACCCAGGACCCATAAGCAACATACTGTAGGTATCCTTGTAACCTTCACAATGTGACATTGCCTTGTCCAGTCTGAAAAATACCCCTAGCCAATCTTTTCCCAGGACACCACTTTCAGATCTGAAGAGACTGGATAAGTGTAAGCAATATGGTGATTGGTAATGGACTTCATGGAACTTATATCTATCCAGTTCCTACAGTGCATTTGGAAAGTATTCAGACCCCTTAACTTTTTCCACATTTTGTTACGTTACAGCCTTATTCTAAAATGGATTTAATTATTTTTCCCCTCATCAATCTACACACAATACCCTATAATGATGAAGCGAAAACAGGTTTTTTGAAATGTTTGCAAATTTAATCAAATGTAAAAACAGAAATACCTTATTTAAGTATTCAGACCCTTTGCTATGAGACTCTAAATTGAGCTCAGGTGCATCCTGTTTCCATTTATCATCTTTGAGATGTTTCTACAACTTGATTGGAGTCCACCTGTGGTAAATTCAATTGATTTGACATGATTTGGAAAGGCACACACCTGTCTATAACAACTTAGCAGTAAAATGGGTTAGCTCTTACCTGCAAGGTAGAAAACAGATGGTAGATGTGGATGGGACCCTGTCTAAACCCAAAATCTTGAACTGCGGGGTACCCCAAGGGAGTGTGCTGGGTCCACTTTTCTTTCCATTATATATAAATGATCTGAAATCTGCCTGTACATGTGACCTTTTCCTATGCAGATTATTCTGCACTGTTGATTTCCCACAAAAACAAAAAGGTGGTTGAGAAAGCCCACAGTGCTGAACTTCTGAATGTCAGTAAATGGCTATACAGTGAGGCAAAAAAGTATTTGATCCCCTGCTGATTTTGTACATTTGCCCACTGACAAAGAAATGATCCATCTATAATTTTAATGGTATGTTTATTTGAACAGTGAGAGACAGAATAACAACAAAAAAATCCAGAAAAACGCATGTCAAAAATGTTATACATTGATTTGCATTTTAATGAGGGAAATAAGTATTTGACCCCCTCTCAATCAGAAAGATTTCTGGCTCCCAGGTGTCTTTTATACAGGTAATGAGCTGAGATTAGGAGCACACTCTTAAAGGGAGTGCTCCTAATCTCAGTTTGTTACCTGTATAAAAGACACCTGTCTACAGAAGCAATCAATCATTCAGATTCCAAACTCTCCACCATGGCCAAGACCAAAGAGCTCTCCAAGGATGTCAGGGACAAGATTGTAGACCTACACAAGGCTGGAATGGGCTACAAGACCATCGCCGTTGCAGCTTGGTGAGAAGGTGACAACAGTTGGTGCGATTATTCGCAAATGGAAGAAACACAAAAGACCTGTCAATCTCCCTCGGCCTGGGGCTCCATGCAAGATCTCACCTCGTGGAGTTGCAATGATCATGAGAACGGTGAGGAATCAGCCCAGAACTACACGGGATGATCTTGTCAATGATCTCAAGGCAGCTGGGTCCATAGTCACCAAGAAAACAATTGGTAACACACTAAGCCGTGAAGGACTGAAATCCTGCAGCGCCCGCAAGGTCCCCCTGCTCAAGAAAGCACATATACAGGGCCGTCTGAAGTTTGCCAATGAACATCTGAATGATTCAGATGAGAACTGGGTGAAAGTGTTGTGGTCAGATGAGACCAAAATCGAGCTCTTTGCATTAACTCAACTCGCCGTGTTTGGAGGAGGAGGAATGCTGCCTATGACCCCAAGAACACCATCCCCACCATCAAACATGGAGGTGGAAACATTATGCTTTGGGGGTGTTTTTCTGCTAAGGGGACAGGACAACTTCACCGCATCAAAGGGACGATGGACGGGGCCATGTACCGTCAAATCTTGGGTGAGAACTCCTTCCCTCAGCCAGGGCATTGAAAATGGGTTGTGGATGGGTTTTCCAGCATGACAATGACCCAAAACACACGGTCAAGGCAACAAAGGAGTGGCTCAAGAAGAAGCACATTAAGGTCCTGGAGTGGCCTAGCCAGTCTCCAGACCTTAATCCAATAGAAAATCTGTGGATGGAGCTGAAGGTTTGAGGTGCCAAATGTCAGCCTCGAAACCTTAATGACTTGGAGAAGATCTGCAAAGAGGAGTGGGAAAAAATCCCTCCTGAGATGTGTGCAAACCTGGTGGCCAGAAATCTTTCTGATTGAGAGGGGGTCAAATACTTATTTCCCTCATTAAAATGCAAATCAATTTATAACATTTTTGACATGCGTTTTTCTGGATATTTTTGTTGTTATTCTGTCTCTCACTGTTCAAATAAACCTACCATTAAAATTATAGACTGATCATTTCTTTGTCAGTGGGCAAACGTACAAAATCAGCAGGGGATCAAATACTTTTTTCCTTCACTGTATGACAATAAGCTGTCACTTCACCTTGGAAAAACAGAATCCATCTTGTTCGGATCCAAGGTGAAACTGAGGAAATCCCCTGATTTTAATGTGGTAGTAGGTGACATAGTAGTCGCAGCAAAATACTCTGTTATGTATCTTGGATGTGTGCTAGATAAACATCTGACAGGGGAGAGCATGGCACAAAACGTTATCTCC